AAAGTTCTGGCACAAACTGCCGACATGGCTACCAACTGGGACTTCAAAGGATGGGTGGCGTCAAGCAACTCACAAACTTCGGTGGCTCAACAATGTCCTTCTCCAACCGGCTCGGAGGACTCCGTCATGCCCGTAATTCATGACCGCGAGAAGATGATAAGCTGGAATGTCTATGGAAGGAATGGAACGCGCTACCTCGTTCAGCAGCTTTGGAACCAGGATCAACGGAACTGTGCTCTCAAACCTCTCAGTACGTAACCCCTACAAGCTGTCGTTTAATTTTCTCCCTTTTTCTTTCTTTTTTGCAGGATCATGCCAAGGCAAACGGAAGCTAACGACAGTCACGGGAACTATTATGGTTAGTCTTATTGTGGATTCAACTCCTGGCGCGAAGGTTGGCTTGCAGCCTTACAATTCGAACCTTCATTGTCAGTGGACCGTGAGTGTCTCCAACGCAGTTCACATACGCATCCACCTGAACTATTTGGCCCTCGGCCCGGGTGATACAGTGGAAATTTCTTACGAGTGCAGACACAGAATTTGCAAGAGGATCGTGCTAAAAGGCTATTCACCTGGAAAGAAGCTAGTCGATGCAAAGGGTGCAAGTTTTCACATCAAGTTTACCAGCGGATCACAAGCTTCTCCCAACAGAATGGGTTGGATGATCAGCTACAAAGCAGGTGATTTGTCAGCGTGGTTTAAACTTTTTAGCGATTCAAATACTTCCATTTTGCAGGCTTTTGTAAACGCAGTGTTGATGTACGCCAGGCAAGAGGATCGATCAACGATGGCTCTCCAAAAGGCGTCAAGTATATGAAGGGCTCAAACTGTTCGTGGCACTTCCATGCACTGCAAAACAGTAAGGTCCGGCTTTACTTCACCAGACTGGAAACCATTGCAAGCAGCGACGTCATTCGAGTCTACCACCGTGACCATCACAAGGTCCTTGCAGAGTATTCCGGAAAAGGCGAGCTCCCACGTCAGGCATTCAAAGGTCCAATAACACTGGAATTCTCCAGTCAAACAGGAGACGGCGACGGTTGGGCTCTAAACTACGTGATGGATTCTCCACAAACTACTACGCACTTGTCATATACAGCTAGATCTGCGGCAGTGACTGCACTGGGGGCTGTATGTGGTGTGTTCGTACCGGGTGTGATCTTCCTTGGAGCTGTGGTTCTTTGCTGCAACTTTTCGGTCCTTCCGGTCAGACGCTCAAAGATCCAGCCAAGTGAAGAAAAGCCGCGACTCCACACAAGAAGAAAGTTTTCGCTGGAAGAGCTCCGAGAGGCGACCATGGATTTCTATCCGGCGAATGTGGTGTCAGACTCAGATGGAAACGTTTTCCGTGGTACCCTGCAAGACGGTTGTGTTGTTGTCATAAAGAAGAAGGTCTCCGAGCTTGAGCTTGACATCTTGTTGCGCATTCGCAGTGCAAACATCGTCGACCTGGTCGGCTTCTCGTCCGACGCAGAGCAGAAGTGCCTTGTCTTTGACTACATGCATCTCGGCCGCTTGTCTCGACGACTTTTCGACGATACACTGCCTCCGATCAGCTGGGGGAACAGGCTTAGAATCGCTTGCCAGATATCCAGAGCAGTCGAGTACCTGCACACATACGCCGAGCCCCACGTCGTTCACCTCAACATCAGCGCCGAGAACGTTCTCCTCGATGGCTCCTGGAATGCAAAGCTGAGTGGATTCGGCAGAGCTCAAAGCAGCAGCGTTGCCATCAAACCGTCTCTGAAGCTACAAGACGTGTACAGCTTTGGCAGCCTGGTGCTCGAGCTGGTGACGGGAAAGGCTTCGAGCGATCGAAAACACAAGAGAGAAGCCTTGGCCGCGATAGAGACAGGCATGGGACACACTATCATGGACAAGCGGCTCGAGAATGAAAGCCAGATTGCGAAGATGGGAGAGATCGCTGCCTGGTGCATGAGCGACAGTAGGAGACAACCAAGCATGGTTGAAGTTTCTTCCACGTTAAGCCAAGTTACCGCAATGGTTCTACGCTCGGCATCGAAGAAACAGCGTCCGCCACCTGGGAAAAGCAGAGACTAGAAGCAGCAAAGCAACCTCAAGCTACAATGGGAAGCTGTCGTCGGGCCTCCTGAAGCGGCGTTCCTTTCGGTTTGTCCTCTTGTACCGGTATCTCTCCACTTGGAGCTTTCTTCTGAGTCCCCGATGCCGCGCTTATAAAACAACAGTGCGTACAGGACATCACTGGATCACTTTTCTCTGCTCGAGTTCCGGAAGCAGGGTCATGCTGCTGCTCAGGCTTGGTCTGTTTCTCGGCTTCATGGTGCTGCTTTCTCTCTGCTCTAGCAAGGTAGAGTTTTCTAGCACGAGTTTCCTCGTCGACGGGCCGGATGATACTCCGAAGAGTTCGAGTCCACCATTCAGTCTCATAGATGTAACGGCAGTCCATTACCATGGAGGCAGACTGCTCGTGGAACCTATAGTGGTCTATCTCATCTGGCTTGGTCCGTGGGAGGACAAGTCCAAGGAAGCTCTTCGAAATGCGGTTCGCTCGCTCTCGGTTGAAAGTGGTGATGGACTGCCGGATCTTTTCAACTGGTGGAAGGTTGCTACGCAGTACACAGATGGGAACGGTCAGCCAGTTTCCAGTAATGTGTCGCTTGGCACGGTGGAGTGCTCGAGTTCTACGGCGTCAAACTTAAGCAGAGAAGCTCTCACTTCACTTATGCTCCAGGCTTTCAACGTCTCTTCTTCGCCGTCTCAAACGCCTCCGTTGTGCAGTTCAGTGCTCCCTCAAGATGAGACTGCGGTGTACCATCTTCTCTTTAGCGAGAAGGTGTCCTTTTCAGAAGACTTCGGCACATCTCTTTGCAGCAGGCGGTTTAGACTTTTCAAGGCTGAAGAAGTTGGTCCCGAGTTAAGCCTGGCATGGTCCCGGGAGCCAGGGGGGGCGGAATACTGCAACCTCTGGAGTTATTATCACGAGTTTCTTTCACCACCAAATGCGAAGGATAAAGGCCAGTTGGATTCCCTGATCAGCTCTGTGCTCGCACAAACTGTGTCCATGGCAACAAACACTGACTTCGATGGCTGGCACAGCAGTCTATCTTCCACAGTCACGACCTTGTGTCCGTCTCCCACCGGTTTATCAATTTCTGCAAAGCCGGTGATTGACGACGGGAAAATCAGCTGGAACTTAAGCGGGATAAATGGCTACCGGTACATGGTACAACAGATTTGGAGCGACAAGACGAAACTTTGTGCACTTCACTCATACGGTATGCCTCTCTCGTTCTCGCCTTTCTTCTAAACATTTGGACCTTTGACAGAACATTGCAAGGGATTGAGCGAGAGAAATGACTATCATGGGATTATAAGTGAAGGGCTGATTGTCAACCACAGTGTGGGACTCCAACCTTACAGCCACGGCTTGCATTGCGAATGGCGAGTCACCATGCCAGGGGCTGCTGTGGTACGCGTCAAGATAAACTACATGGCCATTGTGAAAAACGTCGACTATGTCTACTTGCACTCGTGCTTTGCGCCAATATATATCTACCGTTTGGATGCATGCTTGGAGAAAATGTATAGCGGGCTTGGCTCACCTCACCAGCTGGAACTCTACACTTCGGAGTTTCTGCTCGAGTTCAAAACTGGAAACAACCCAACCTTGACCGAGATGGGCTGGGACATCGCGTATCAAGCTGGTAAGCTGACTTTCTTGCTTACACCGAAGTGCTCACTTACTTTGTTCCTTTCAGGATTTTGCTTCGGCACAACAAGAGTGACAGAAAAAAGTGGTGTTTTAACTGATGGAACTCCCGAGAACGCGACTTATCTCGAACAGCATACTTGCGCTTGGTTTCTTGACGGCCCAAACGTGGAACTCGACTTCGTCCGTTTCGATACAGTTCAAAACCAAGACGAGCTTCTGGTTTACAGAGGTGACAAGTCTGACGTAGCGAACATAGTGAGAGCCTACACCGGAAGATACTCTTCGCTGCCTCGAGAAACTTTTCCTGGTCCAGTGCTGCTCGAGTTTCGAACTAAAACTGGGAATGGACGGGGCTGGGCTCTGAAGTACACGATAAAGCCTGCTGGTGGACTCTCGCCACCGGAAGATCCAGCAGTGATCATAGCAGCCGTGTGTGGAGGACTGGGAGGCATGCTCGTTGCAGGATTGATCGTTCTTACGTATATGCGGCGTGTGCTCTTGCTCTTCGACGACAACGATCGTGAGATGGAACGTCCATTGTTGCTGCCAAAGAACATTAAAGTCTTCTCTCCACAAGTTTTGCGAGAAGCCACCGACAAGTTTAGCTCCAGCAACTTGATATCCAGGGGACGCAGAGCGTGTGTTTACAGAGCTAAACTACCTGATGAACAGCAAGTAGTGGTGAAGAAGACGAAACTGGCACGCGACGAGCTCCTAGTGATCTCCAGCGCCAGCCATTTCAACATCGTTGGCGTCACGGGCTACTGCTTCAATCGCAAGGAAAACTTCCTCGTTCTCGAATATGTCCCAAACGGTTCACTAGCGGATCATCTCTTCTCTAACGCTAGCACACTGGCTTGGAGCTCGAGACTGAGAATCGCGGTACAGGTTTCCAGCGCTCTCGAGTTCCTCCATTCATACGTGGAGCCGAGCATCATCCACGGCAACGTGAGCTCAGAGAACATTCTCTTGGACAAGTCCTGGAACGCAAAGCTTGCCGGCTTTGGAAGCTCGCGGAGGAGCTGTGTGAAGAGGGTCGGCTCTCACAACTTCGGCCTCAAGGCGGACGAAGTTTACAGATTCGGAGGCTTGGTGATGGAGCTAGTCATAGGGGACAGATCGAGCAGCAAGGCAAGACAGGCATGCGAGGTGATTGAATCTGGAAAGGAGGAAATGTTGGGCCTTGTTCTTGACAGGAGGTGTGGTAGCAACGACGCCACGGACAAGAGAGCAGTGCTAAAGCTGGCAGAAGTTGGAGCGTGGTGCATGACAAAGGAGGCCAAGGAGAGGCCAACAATGGTGGAAGTGGCATTGGCATTGAGACAGGTTCTTGCGATCTCCATGCGCTCCAGACGCTAGCTATGGTGACACGCAGTTTTCATATCCGTCGTCGTGGTTTCTTCGGGGCTGGCTTGACGAGATCTTCATGGCCTTTGGCTGGAGCTTGGGAAAGCTGCAAGGCAGGCAATAGCAATCGCTCAGAGTGATTTGAGACGAACTTCTCACCTTATCCAGCTTCTCGCGGACGTTCTTCGCAGTAGCATTCATCGATGGCTCGGAGAAGTGCTGATAGCGAAGGTACCAACAAGTTTTCGATTGTTGCTTGAAACTCTTGTCTTACCTTTGGGATTGGTGCTTCACAGGCCACTGAGAGAGGAAAGTGTGGCTCCGGTTGGAAACTTTCTAGCGGTGTAACGTCGAGAGGATCGAGCAGTCCTGTTTGGAGGCGCAATCGTTTATTCACATCCACGTCCTTGAGAACTGGGAGGCGGTGAGTCAAGAATGTTCCATTCTCTTCGAAACTCATCTCTTTCTTCTTTCTTTACCAGCTTTTCTCTCCACGACGTCCAGTCTGCGCGCTTCTAGTTTGTGCTTGGTGTCCGCCAAGCTCTCGTACTTTGGGGCGTAGCTCACTTGCAACAGGTTGCCAAAGAACTGGAAATCATCCAGGTTTCTCTTCGCAGCTCTGCGTTTGAGGATGTTACTCGCAAGGGAAGGAATGGAGAAATGGAAAGAGCGAGGCTACCGTGCGTGGGCGATATCAGCGAACTTGATCCAGTATACGTCGGTGTAAGGCTCGCATTCTTCGTCATCCAGGAGCAAGTACCTGGACGGCGCGTAAGGTTTCGAGGAAAAAAGAAAGAACGAGAGACTCTACTCTTCAATGTGGCCAAAACTTCCAAGCAATTGTAGAAGCTCGCTGGAACAACCCAGCGCCGGGACGTTCTTGACAAGCATGTATCTGGTGTCTCAAAAATTCATCCAAACAAGAGCCTCACAAGATGGCTATTTCACTCACCTGGATTCATCGCAGACCGTGTACACTTTCACAGCTCGTTCCATCTTGCCCTAGCATAACAATGCAAACAAATTAGGACCGTTGGATTGAGGAATATCCTCAAGTATTCTAGGAAGCAAACCAAAAAGTCAAATTTATTTTGGTTTAATACAATACAAGCTATGTTCACAGATCCTTTCGTCTCCTCGCTAGGGGTAAACGTGTTTTTGACGCTCAAGAAAGACGACGCGGAGACAAACAAAAAAAAGTATAATTAAAAAAGTATTTTTTGAGAAAAATTTAAACACCATTGTATTAGTACCTTTTGATGGTTGAGATTAAATCTTATAACCTAGGATTTTATGGTGTTTATAAACATTATAATCTTAAACCCTTTTGTTGGTTTAAACTGTTAATATTTGTCTTGAACGAAATTCTTCGGTAGGAAGTTCTCGGGCACGTCCAATGGAGGTGAGTCTTTGCAACAGAGTGTAGCTTCCAATGCATGAGTTCGGGCTCGGGAATCCATTCCTTCACAAACACCAAGTTCATGAAATCGCTTGAACTGCACTCATACATTTCAGCATATGGGATGCATGTCATCCAGATCACCCCTCCACCATGCTATACTAGTACACTTGCGGGATAAACAAGATCGCACCACTGTTTACTACTTCATTGATCAATCTGATTGAGGGCCGAACGTATCTATGCGGGCTTTTGTGACATGCCCCTTCATGTTGATGATTTCTGCAACCAGGTCCTCCAGTTGACACAAACTTGAATCCCCAGTAAGTATCGGCAGTAAGACTCCCATGCACTACCACACTTGTAAACCGTTATTTTCTCCGCATCCCTGACCGCCTCAATGTAAAGCCTGCCGATGTACTCGGTCACGTACTCCGCTTGACCATGCATGACATGGTGACGTAAAGTCGATCTTGGTTAGGTTGTCCACAATAAGTGGCTTGATGTTCTTGACCTCTGCGGCAGCTACAAAAATCTTCAACACATCTTCACAGTCTTCGTCTTCTCCTAGATAAACCGTATCATCATCAGTAACTTTGAAGCTCCATCTTGGCTCCTCCGAGTATTCTTCAGATTGTTCACGTTGTTCTTCTTCATAATGTCTGCAGCATCTGTCGAAGATGGACAGCGAGAGGCGGTGAGAACCAGTATCGTAATCCAGGCTTGGCTGCAATCTGGGATTACGCCTCATAATGTCGTTTGCGAGTAAGTTCTGAAACACCATAAACACAGACCTGCGCTTCGCTGATCAAAGGCGAAACCTTTTTGGTGACCAGGCTTTCCCACTCGCTCCCATCATTTGAAGAGAAAAACAAAACTCTTCCACGATCTTGTGTCAAGGGGATTGAAACTCTGGAATCTGCGTGTCTTCTGCAAAAGAGGAAGCAGGAGAGGGTCGCAGCAGTACGTGAAACTCAGTGCATCGATAAAGTCCTAGCGATTGATTCAGGATAGATGCCAACAGTCTGCGGGGCGTTTAGTGCAATGGATAAAAATTCTTCAAATGTGATTATCTGGTTATATCATGACAAACATATAATATAATTCTGACACTACTACCATTATAATCCTGGTACCTCTACTTGGGTCGAAGTGTTTTAAGCTCCTTCAATGTAAAGTCGAGTGTCCCAAGGGAAATATAAAAACACATGTAGTAAACCAAAGTCAAAGGTGTTGACTTACCGACAAAGTGTCCAGTTATTCAAATTCGTAAGTGGATTTTTTATCTGCAAACTCCATATGATTTTCAGCATCTGTAGTGTTATCAAGGGTTGTATCATGGAAACATATTAAGACGCCATCTTTTGTAGCCAATAAGACAATGTGCACACAAATGCAACATAGCAGCCACAGATTGTTCAGGGAACCCACCAGGGCAGCCGCAATGAGCAAGATTCAAAGCCAGGCCGCCAACTTTCAAAGGTTTCTTATGCGAAACTCTTGAACTCAATGCCACATTGATAACCAGATCAACTTCATATTGGAAAGGAAAGATATATAAGGGTTCGATCAATTAATATATAACAAATTTGAGACATATTTACAGAGTTTATAGTATTAGAACTATAAAAGCTTCCTTTTTCATGCTGGTATAATTCCGTAGCATCAATATCGTCTCGAGGAGTTTGCTTCAAGCTCGTTGCTGTGGATGAACTCTCCAGAGCAATGGGACTCTCGGGAACGATCTCTCGTTGCTTGAGTTTGGGGGAGATACTTTGTTGAGAGAGGGAGATGCCGCCATTCTAATGGAGGATTGATCATCATCCTCTTCGTCACCACTGTCTTCTCTGTCGGTAGCCTCTTCTTCTTCGTCATCGTCTCTGCTACTTGATCGTCTAGACGGTGTTGGAACGGCCAATTGGAGCTCGCGAAGCTTGGCTTTTTGTGAATTGAGCAAGGCCACAAACTGGAGAGATGTGCTCGTCAAACACACAAGCCAAAGTTTACAGGGGATCTTACTTTGCGAATAAGCTCCTCCTCGCATTGGTTCTTTTCTTGAACGACTCTCTTGTTTTGCTACCTCGGCTTTCAAATACTCTCGTTTTGTTCTTGAGCTCCTCCTGCACAAAAAGGTTCTCAATCTAGAACTCGAAAGAATCTTCGTGTCTGCTTCTAGAACAAAGTCTAGAATCTGGCAATTTATCGCTTTGGAATTCGATGATTTTACCAGCTTCCATAGCGATTCTAACGTGGTTCCAGCTCTCTGAATCGTCCAAGACAACTATACAAGATCAAACGAGAGAGCCTTTGAGATCAAACAAGAATAAAGGCAGGAAGAAAGAAAGAAAGAAAAACAATCGCTTACTTTTGCTTCATTGCTTGAGGTTATACACGGACGAAGCTTGGTGCTCGCTCAATCGGCTCCTCACGTCTCGGAGATAATCGGCCACGGATTGATCCCCGATCATGTCGCGGGATGCTACACAGAGCTCCAGAGCTGGAATGAGGGCCAAAGCCAAGAAAAGCAGAGATTTCACTTACGCCAACAGCTCCATGTCCCGATCGATCGTCCTGGAGACGCAACCTCTCGCAAGTTACTTCTCCCTCAAACATACCTTTAGGGTAAGAATATTCTTCCAATTTAAAAAACGAAACTATATTGAAATTTTTGATACTCGGAGCATAGCTCCAAAAATGTTATGAATTTACTCCTTTCCATCGGCCTTCCTGAGAGACCCAAGTTGGACTGGAGCTTGAGTTCCCACAACCTTGGAGGAGCTGTAACCCGTAAGTAAGTCTTGAGATCCCTCGCCAATCTCCTTGTCAAGCTGCTCCTTAATCCACAAGTAAGTGATACGCAGCCCATCTTTCAATCGCATCGAGGGAGCCCATCCGAGCTTCTCCTTGATCAAACTGTTCTCCGAGTTTCTCCCGCGGACTCCCTCCGGCCCAGGTATATGACGGATCGGGATTTGCTTGTTCTCAAATCCTAGTATGATCTCTGCCATCTCGTTCATGCTCACCATCTCGTCGCTTCCAATGTTGAGCGGTTCCCGGAAATCGGACTTTGTGAGTCGCAAGACGCCCTCCACGCACTCGTCGATGAAGGTGAACGATCGCGTCTGCATTCCATCGCCCCACATCTCAAACGAATCGGTGGAAGTCAGGGCCTTTCGACAAAACGCAGCCGGAGCCTTCTCTCGTCCACCTGGTATTGAAACAATCTCAGTTACTCCCACTCAAGCTAAAGAAGAAAGAAGAAGATCTCAATCTATGAAGTCACCTTTCCAGGTCCCAAAGGGTCCATAGATGTTGTGGAATCGTCCAATGCGGCACTCGATCCCAAAATCCTTGGTGTAGTGCTTGCACAGCTCTTCAGTGCACAGCTTCTCCAGTCCATAGGCATCTTGGGGCTGCAAAGTGCAATTTGTTTTTAGATTCCCCACAAAAGAAAAGAACCTTTTTTTTTTTTTTTTTTCTTTTTCATACCTCTGCCGGCCATGCATCTGACTCCTTCAAACTCACGTTAGTCTCCAGCTGCTTAAACTCGGGGTAAATGCATGCACTGGACGCATAAAAAAATCTGGAAGCCAAGAAAGAGAGTGAGCTCCAAATCCTTGGGAAGAACAACTTAGAAACATCACAGGCTACCTTTTGACTCCGTTGATCCGGGAGGCCTCGAGCATGTTGAAACTGATCATGGTGTTGTTGAAGAGAATCACAGAGTGATTGGACTGGATGAATCCCATTCCGCCCATGTCGGCCGCGAGATCGAAGACGTGATCCACGCCCCTTGTCACCGCCAGGCAATTCTCCATGACGCGCAGATCCACGAGATGGAATTCGTGGCAAAACATGTCCTCGCTCATGTGCTCGTTCTTCTTCCAGTCGGACGCGATCACGTAGTGTCCCTCCGCCTTGAGCCGCCGCGCTATGTGTGAGGCGATGAATCCTCCAGCGCCGGAGATGGAAATCCGGAGCTTGGCTTGCGGCCAATACGCCTCGCGCTCTAGCTCGGCTCCTACGGTGTAAGCGCCAAAGGACTCCATTACACACCTTTCTATCCTTTCGCTCTTCACAGCCCTACTTATGCTAATGCCGAAAGGAAAAATAGGAAAAAATTTCTTACCTTTTTCAAGGAAAAAAGGTAAAACTGAAAGTTTTTTCCACGATTTTATTTTTTTTGTGGAAAAAAATACACCTTTAGGTAATGAGTTAGGACTTCAAGTTACCAACGAATTTACTTTTCTTACGAGCTTTCTTCGCAGTTAGCCGTTCATCTCGAAAACCCCCACCTGTGAAAAACCAAAGGTAAAAACATTCCACGCAGATGGTAAATTTCAGGACCTCGATTAGGCAGCTAGAGCTCAGGATCGCGCGTCAGTGAAAACTACGTACAAAACCTTTCCCAGGTTTTTTAGATGGAAAATCCCATCTTCGTCTATCTTGATGCTCGCCTGCAAAAGCCATGAGAGCTGCGACAGAAACTTGGAAACTACAAACCTGCTTTCTGGAAACTCTGTTTGCCGGGCCCTCCTGTGCGAGATCGACATCAATGACGTTTCCTTGCGTCCGTCTACCGATCGAAACCTTGGGTGCAAAGTGTTAGCCAAGCGTGAAGCTGAAAAGCAGCCATTCTTGCAAACCTCGTTGGCCACCATGAGATACTTCAAGTGGTATCCGTAGAGCATGGCAATGGCGCCTTTACGAGTGAGGTACCGTTGCATCACGGCGTTTACACTCTGCTCCAACCTTAGAATGGTCATTTGATGTTGTCCATAGAAACGCTTTGATTCTATGTAATACACACACAAGCCATGGATTGCGGAGTGTTCATTGTCACCTATGTCTAGTATCTGCAGAACAGGATAACGAAGAATTTGTGAGTGTTCTAGATTACCATGGTCTCAACATCCGAGAAACGAACGATTTCATCGTCGCTTTCGACTTCCGGAGGGATGCCCGTCGTGACCTCCAGTTCGTTGTCTTTGCGAGTCCCCGCCTTTGGAGCCGAGTAATCGACTTCTAGCCTGCCTGTCGTCTCGGTTCCGGGCTCTATCTTCACGTTTGCTAGGACAAAAAACAAAGCAGAGAATCAACCTTGAGTGGACGAGAAGTCGGTTGGTCACGTTTTCGAATGAAAGCGTACCCGGAATCTCGAGAGAATCTCATTTACGATGGGAGAAAGATACATCTGTCCTTCCTACCAATCCAAGGAAAATTCAAGCTTTGATCGATCATTCTATATATACTGTTTGCGATGGGTGTCGTGAATCCCACGAAGATAATCTCTATCTGATGATCCTGTACAGCTCAAGCGAGAATTTTTCTCTCTCTCTCTCTTTTCACTTCGTTTATGTGCCTATAGGTGATCGATCGCCTGGGCCGGCTAGCATCACCTGCGAATGAGAAGAAAACTTTAGGAGCAAACCAACAGGAAGAGAATTCTTACAGTGCAATCAAACGCAAATCTTCGTGCCAGCATGATCGCAGCGTTTCGCTCGCGCTCGGACTCAAATCCAAGCATGTAAGTCAGGCCTCGCTTCACAAGCCAAAACATGGCGAAAGGAGCGATCTGTCCGCCACCTCTTGCTCCACAAAGCTGCAAAATGAGCTTTCGATCAATATCCTTGTTTTCGCTCAAAGAGTTCGAAAAGCTTACCTGCTTGCCGGCAGCGTATTTCTCTTTGATCTTCGTTGTCAGTCCTTTACGGAGCTTCATACGCGTACTCGCCATTCTGCTGTACAATGACTACCTGAAAAAACGAAAAGCTTCGTTCCTTCATAAAAAAACGATCTTCTCATCACTAACATTAAACTCTGTACCGCCCTTCTTTGCTAACCCAAGGGCTGGAAAAGAAAGAGATGTGTTATCCTTGAATGGGAATAAGCTATGAACCTGGATCATCAGGGCCAGTTGTAAATAAAAATTCTTTCGCTCCATCTGGTAGAGTAATATCCACTCGCAAAATTCTTCCAGCATCAAACGGGTCCGGAGCGTATTGTGACTTAACAGCACCTGTTTACACAGGTAGAAATTGCCTAGAGATTTCTTCACCCGATATGAGTTCCGTCAGCTAGATCCGATGCCATTGGAATTTGCAGTAGGATAGATCGGTTGCTTGCTCGTCCACAGGTGATAAGCTTAGCAAAGATCTCAGACATTCAGTACCATCAACACGATAAACTCTCGCATTTGTTTTGCAATATCCAACTGCACAGACATACATATCACAGGTAAGTGGAGCTCATAAACTTGAAAGAGACTCGTCACCTCTTTTCTTAGTTGCACTGTAATTCGGCAATAGTAAGGCTTGTTTGGTGTATATAAATATCCACTTTAAGATCCTAGTGCAAGATATTAAGAACCTCCACTAACTTCACGTCAAATTGTTGTTGGATAGCTTGAAGTTTGTAGTCCATGTCCATGACCTGTACAAAACACCATAAACGCAGACCTGCGGACAACCTTTTTGGTGACCATGAGAAGGCTTTCTTACTCGGCCCCGTCAAAGAGAAAAACAAACTCTTCCACGCTCTCCTCTATCTCGTTGACCGATTCCAGAGTCTCAATCTCCTTGAGCACAAGATCGTCGCAGCAGTACGTGAAACTCAGTGCATCCTTGAGCTTGCCCGCCGGATCATCCAATAAATCACGCACGCTCCACAAACAGACGATCCTCGCTGGTGGCTTTCGGACGAACAGGTAGCCCTCAAAGCACAGCTCTTACCCATATCCTTCGCTTCTTCACGTAGAGTTCCACACCTTAAATCTTAGCGCCTTGAAGAATGCATCCAATAATTCTCCCACAGCCGCACTGCATACAAATCTGACGGGTCTCAAAGGTGGCGTGCTAAGGTGTCTAGTACAACTTGTGTAAAATATTCCATCTTAGTCACTAATTTGTTATACTAAAACCCTAATAACAATTTTTTAGGGTTTAGATGGCATTTTAACCTAGGGTTTAGTGAGAATGGCCCAGCTTCGCGAGATCGCGCAGGCATGGAAGATCTACTGCGCGTCGGCTCTCGATTCTCCAATCCAGCAGCAGCGGCCGGGGCGGCGTAAGGGATCGGCGGGTTTCAAGGGGCAGGATGTCTCGAGGAGTCTTCGATTCCTGTGTGAGCGTGGCCTCGGTGAGGTCGTAATGCAGCACTTCATGGACGAGCTTGAGGTACTTGATGGAATTTCTAGCGGCATTTTGTGAGCTTGCCTCAGGTTTTGCTTCTCTAGAGATCACTCAAAGAGAATTACATTCCAGAGTTTTGGTCACATTTCACCGATTTTTTGAGCGTCAAGGAAAATTCTGATACCAAACAGGTTCGTGGTTCGTGGATTGCTGACGCTTGAAAATTTCTTTTTGTTTTTCTTTCCTCTTTGCGTTGCAGCTGAACGAGTGGATACATTCTTCACTACCTGTGGCACTCGAGAAACTATGCTCGAAGAAAGTTTCTCAAGAGGATGGTCTGAATGCGTTGATCAAAGCTTTGGAAACCAACGCGAGCGTAAATGGCTCTCAAATTCTTACGTCGCACCAGACAACGGTCACTGCGTTGCTTCTCACGACTTCACCTTCGTACTTCTCAGGTTTGTTAAGCATTGTCATTTGGACTGAGAAAAAGTTTTGCTTTTCTCTTGTTGCAGATTTGCTAAAGCTTTATTTCACCGCTCGCTTGGAAGAGTTTAGTGGATCCTTTCGGAAGCGGCCTTGCAACTCTGACGACGAAGATTGTGAGGCCTCTACGGATGTCGAAGATATGGACGTGCTTGGGGTGGAAAGTCCCTGCAAAGGTGAAGCCGAAGCTACAGAAGTCAGTGAGGACTCGGTTTCAGTCAGAAACGTTGTGAAGCGTCTCAGAGACCTTGGTTTTGCTGCTTTATGTGAGGAAGCTTATGCATCAGCGATTTTGTCTCTGTTAAAGGTAAGTTCTTGCAGCTCGATTTAGAGAACTCAACTCCTGCTTTGGTTGCAGAAAAAAATCTACTCCATAGCTGATAAGCGCTATGAGAAGCCTGTCCTGGGACCTATTCGTCATTGGATTGAGGTAGCATATAAAAAATTACATTTTGGTTTTTCTTTTTCTGAAACTTTTACTTGCGTAGGCTGTGCCTATGCGGTTCTTAAGTGCCATTCTGGAATCTTCCGCGGGGAGTTCAAGCTTGTCGCCTTTGCCCGCTACTCCTTCGCCGCTGGCTTCGTCCTCCACACTCTCAGATCTTTCCAAAGAGCGAATTATAAGATGGCGACTAAGGCTTCAGTTCTTTACATACGAAACACTAGGTGATTTGCGAATCAGCGAACTTTTTGACGTTATTGTGGACTACCCTGACAGGCAAGTCACACGCTATTTTGTCTAATGTTTTGAGTCCATCTCAGCCTTCCAGCTATTGAAGACTTGCGGCAGTGCCTTGCAAATACCGGGGAACACTCCAAGCTCGTAAAGTCCTTTCGTTTGGCATTGAAACAACGACTTCTTACGGCTGGAGCGGCCACCACGGACATATTGACACAGTATGTCTCGACTATCAAAGCGCTTAGAACCATGGATCCGACTGGAGTAATTCTCGAGGCCGTCGGCGAACCTATCAGAGAGTACTTACGGGGAAGGAAAGATACAATTCGCTGTATAGTCACTATGCTGACCGACGACACAGCAACAACAAGTGGCACGACCGTCGCAGGTGGCGGAGAAGGCCTCCTTGAGGAACTCAGTCGGGGAACTACGACTGTAGAAAATGCGGACAGCGATGAAGAGGGAGAACTCGATGGTGAAGAGGCTTGGGCTGCTGCACAAAGGTAACTAAACTACACATCATACCATACCGACGCATCTAAAAACTGTCATGTTATAGGTGGGAGCCGGATCCTGTGGAAGCCGACTTATCACGAACTAGCAAGAGTCGAAGATCGATGGATATTATCAGTATGTTGGTGGGAATATATGGCTCGAAGGAGCTTTTTGTCAACGAATACAGGGTGATGTTGGCGGAGAAACTGTTGAACAAGTCAGATTACGACACTGACAGGGAAATTCGAACGCTCGAGCTTTTGAAGGTAGTATTTCTTGCGCTATCCTTTGTACCTGTCTGACATATGTGCCACAGCTGAGATTCGGAGAGAACAACATGCACAGCTGCGAGATCATGTTGAAGGATCTGGCGGACTCTAAGCGCATAAACTCGAACATAAAAGCAAAAGGAAAACCGCAGGAAACGTTTCAGAAAGGCGAGGAGTTAACTTTGCACAACGTTGATGCCACTGTTATTTCCTCGCTGTTCTGGCCTCCTTTCCAAGTAAGCGTTTGCTCTCACTCTCATCTGGTACTGATATGTTTTGCATGGATCGTAACAGACGGAGACTCTCCAAGTTCCCGACTTCGTTGATAAGCTGCTAGACGACTATGCTCAGCAATACCACACTGTAAAAGCTCCTCGGAAGCTGCAGTGGAAGAAACATTTAGGCACTGTCAAGGTGAGAAAAGTATTTCCGCTTTCCTTCTGCAAATACTGAAGGATAACAAATGCAGCTGGAGCTCCAATTTGAGGACCGTTCGGCTCAGTTTGTGGTTTCACCAATGCAAGCGTCTATTATTTTGAAGTTTGAGAGCTGCTCCAGGTGCGTCTTAGCCATTTCTTCAATGCTTCTGATGCATGGTTCGCAGATGGTCAGCCTCGGAGCTAGCTGCAGCGTCTGGAATCCCCGTCACAACGCTTAGACGGCGGATTGTATTGTGGATCAATCAGGTGAGCTTACTCTTCCATCAAAATAGTAACTTTTGTTAAGCTGGGACACAGGGTGTTCTTGTAGAATCGCACGGAGACAAAGATGGTGAGGTTTTCTATCAGGTAGTGGAGACTATTGGCGATGGCGGCCAGAGAGGGGCGTCTGCTCCAACAGAAGCGGCTGTACCGCTGCTCGAGGAGGAGGACGGGCAGAGTGCCGTAACACCCATGGAAGATCAATGGCAGCAAGAGATGAACGTCTACGAGGTTTGTAGAGCTTGTTCTCTTCATCCATATAATCGGTGTCTAACATTTTTGATCCAGTCTTACATCGTTGGAATGCTTACAAACTTGGAATCTCTCCCGCTGGATCGGATCCACAATATGCTGAAGGTACTCCTCCTCCTCAAGTTCTATGTCATAGATTAAAGTGTTTGATATATGATGTCGAGCAGATGTTTGTCTCGGATCCTCCCTACGACAAGACACTCCAGCAGCTACAGGGATTCCTTGGAAGTTTGATCGCCGACGAAAAGCTGGAATTTAGAGAGGGAGTCTACCGGCGGAAGCAATGAAAATCAAAAGGTAGGCCTTTGTTCTTTCCAAGGGATAAAGTTGGTTAAAGTTTCACGCAGTTCTTTGGGAAGATCACCCTTCCAATCAAATCCTTTCTTCTTTCTGAGGTTTGAGAAGCTCCACGAGTCTAGGAAGTTTATTAAAACTTCTAGCTTCTAGAGCTTTGGTCTAGAGCATAGATTGTATATTTAATCTTTTTTCTTTTACTATTGTACAGATTGTCTCTCATCCTGCTACACGTAGAAAAATTTGCCAGAATTTCACCTTCGGTGTGGCAAACCGTGAGGAGGCTTGTTATTACTGTTATTCGTTCCACCGGGAGCCCGTTTTACTGCCTTTGGCCCTCCCGTTCCTTTGGGAAGATCCATCAAATCCATGACTTGAACAGTCCGGTTCTTCTTAGCTGAAAAAGAGAAACAAAACGTAAAAAGTTGGGAACTAGAAAAAGCAAAAGAAATTACCAGTTTCTGCTCGTTGGTAGCCTTCTTGCAGTTTACGTTTTGCGGCCGCGAGCTTGTCATTCTCAGGATGATCACTTTCTCGTCTCTGGAGAAAAAACGAAGAAAAAACAAAGGAGAGTGTGAGAAGACCAAGGAATTCTAGTCTTTAGCGACCAAACTGTACCGATTGTTGCTGTGGCCTCTCTTTTTTTCTGTGGAAGGAGGCATCCAGCATCGGTGGCTTCCTTTCATCTTTCCTGGCATGTTTAAGTCCGCTCGGCCGGAAGTGGTCCCCAGAATTATTGTAAAATGGGGACACTGGCATCGGTGAGTGCGAGGCGCGGCTCGATGAGTTGAGTGGCGATTCGTCCGCCGAGATCGAGCACCCCGTCGCTGAGGAAACGATAAAAAAAGAAAGACAAAAACGAAAAAGCGATGAGTCACTCCATTAACGTAACGCATGAGGCGGCAAGAATCTCGTGTGACAAGGATATGAAACTCACCCATGTTGTTATCCATGCTATTATCCATGAGATCTATGAGCTGCGATCATATCCAAACAAGAGCGCTCAGAAAATGGAATAGAAAAATTCTTTGCAAACCTTTGTCATCTCGAAAGTGGTCGCGAAGAGCTCGTCTTCGTCAATGGGTGGTGGTGCCGGTGTGCATTGTTCATCGTTTCCTGTGAGAAAACCACAATTCGTTTCCAAATCAAACTCTAGAACACGAGGAAAAACAAAAACTTGCAAGAGCAACTAGCAGACCTTGCACGTCGTCTAGACTTTTGGCCCATTCGTCGGCTACAGCCTTCCACGATCTGCAGTGAAAGAAACTTTGATCCATCATCCTCAACTCTTTGCTTGTCTTCTTTTTACCGGATAAGTTTCCTGGCGGCCGACTTTATTTGATCGCAGCCGTGTCTCCGCAGATTGTTCACAGGCTTGCCAATCTCAGTCGCCTGGAAAACATATCAAAGAATAAAACAACCGCGTGAATCCCAAGAGCTTCTCGAGTGAAAGAAAGAAAGAAAAAAAATCCCCCTAGTAACGAATTCTCTTGTTTACCTTCAGAGTCTCGATCGAGAGATTTAAATCTGTCAATCGCACAAGAAGTTCTAAAATGTCGTCATCGTTCTGTCACAAGGGAGACAACGCGTGAGGACAAAGGCAAAAAGAAAGAGCAAGAAGAATGAAGAGAGAGAGAGAGAGAAAGGAGAGGAAAGAATGAAAAAAAATGGAGAGAAGAGGGAGAAGAAGAAATCCTTGCATACCTTATCAAGATCTACCAGCTCCTTTTTAATCTTGAAAACTTCCTTGACATCGCCCTCGCGATTCCCACTGCCCATGTCCATCACGGAATTCCCATACTCGTGATCGCACGCCGTGATGGCTGGAGAGATTTCGCTGTGGCGGCTCACCGATCCCCGTAGCACCGCGGCCTCCTCCTCCTCCTCCTCGATCGGCCCCGCCCGGCAAGCGATTTGCTGAAATAGCTTCTCGGCGATCCCATCGCGCCTCTCCCTAAGCTTGTCGGGGAAGTCCGCCGCCGCGATCGCGATGCCCCGGTCGATCACCGTCCAGAGATCGTGCTCCAAATCCCTGAAGAAAGATCGCCAAAACTCCAATTTCTCTCCTCCGCCCATGGCTAGAAAGAAATCCCAGAGGAGCTCCTCGCCCGAAACTTCCCCTCTGGAACAAGAAACCTTGCCCACCTTAGAACAGCGAGAATCTCCACTCACGAAAGAGGCCAGCGATTCCCCAGCTGGATCTCCGCATTTTCTCGATGCGATGCTCGCTCAATCAAATCCCTCGCAGACCTGACTCCTCGCGAGAGAATCCGTCACAGATTTCTCATTCTCCCGATACCTAAGCTAAGGATCGATCAGCAATCCAGGACTGACGCGACAAAGAGAGAGGGAAGAGGAAAGCTTCCTAGGGCTAATGGAATTGTTCTTGATCCGACGGCCCAGCGCGCGTGGCGATTAGATCCGACGGTCCAGGACCAAATTGCTGACTAGTCAACGGAGAGCGGCGAATTTCCGCGTGTAGTGTTGAGCGCCACGTGAAGATATGGCAAAAACTCGTTTCGTTTGACGGGTTGCTAGGTAGGATTCGAACCATGGATTGGTCAACTCTCCATTGACCATAAGCCCTTAGGTCAACTCTTCGATAAGCCCTAAACCCTAGAGCAGGGTGGGGAGAATGGCGGGGAGGCGCCGCGCAATGGAGCTCGTGTTTCTCGGCACTGCGGCGAATCCATCCCCGCGGAGGAATTCTTCGTGTGTGCTGCTCAAAATAGGTGAGATTTCGAGCGCGAGCATTCTTTGTGTGAGATTTTGGTTTCTCAGGGAAGATTATGCAGCTATTCGACTGCGCCGAGGGATCGTTCCGGCAGCTGCAGGAATCGCGGCATTCCGGCAGCGCGATTGACAGGATCTTCATCACGCATATGCACGGGGATCACGTAAGGATTTTGCGCGATTCGATTCGAGCAGCTCACTGTGACTCTTTTTTCCTTCCTTTCTCTGTCGTGTAGGTCTGGGGACTTCCAGGTACGTTGTTCTTGGCGATTCGTTTTGCGATTCTTTACAGCATTTTGTTTTTTGTTTTCTTTGTAGCATTGCTGTGTGCTGCCAAGTTTAGAGTCAATGCGGAGATTTATGGACCCCAAGGAATTCGCGACTGGCTGCGCATGAGCTTAAAGTCGTGCCGTGCGAAAGTTCCATCCAAGTACAAAGTCCATGAGCTCATCCTTACTCAGGTGTGCACGAGATCTCCAGATTTTGTTGTGATTCAAGCCTTTTTTTCTTTTTTTTCTTAAGGAAAAGAGCTTGGAACGAGTTGCGTCCTTGCATGTCCCAGCTAATCCTCACGACGATGAATTACCGGGAAATGATATAAGCTGCTCTGGAGACGGTGTTTGGCATGTGTATGCAACCTTTTCAACTCTCTGTCGGTTTTTATTTTCTTTTGATGATGCAGACTTCAAGACGAAACGCTTGACATCAAAGCTGGTTTGTTGACCCACAATGTTCCCTGTTGGGGATATGTGCTAACAGAAGTCAAGAGGTAGATGAGTCTTCTTACATTCTCCAAGTGACGTTCTTTCTTCTGTCAGCGAGGCGGAAAAAGAAAGCGCTGGCGAAACTACCAGAGGAAGCCGAAAAGTTGGTAAGTTCGTGTTATACACGAACTATACGAAGTTAAATTCTTTTGCAGTGATTCTTGGTGACACAGCCAACTCAAAAGCTCTCACCACAGCAGGCAGAGATGCCGATGTTGTGGTGCACGAGGCAACACTTGGTAATTGTAACAAGGAAACTCACTCGACTCCAGGTAGTTCTTTCACTGTGTTTGTGGAGGTGAACAAACGTTTCCTTGCAGAAATGGCCGGAAGTTTTGCGAAATCTATGAATGCCAAGGTGCTGGTTCTAACACATTTGAACCGAAACGCTGTGAGTCTTCCCGATTGCCTCTTCTGTATATTGTCTGAAACTTATTTTTGCATCCGCTTCTAGGGGACTTCAAAACTTCCTGCGACGGCTTATCTTGATCCGGCCAAGCGTGCGTTTGGAAGGGACAGCGTTGTTCTGGCAGAGGATTTCCTCTCATTGAGCCTATGATAGGCATGGAATCTAGCCGAGTGCGTGCTACTCCAGCAAAAGACGCTGCTAGCTTTCAAGGCACAAGCCTGTCAAGACTGCCAAGGAGGATAAGTACGTTGCTGGCGGAACTGAAGTCCGCGAGCAGCTCCGGGGACTTGAAGATGGGAAGGAGGCTTCATGCTGAGGCTGCCGAGAGCGGCGCCGACACACATATTTACGTAGCTAGCAGCCTGGTGAATATGTACGCGAAGTGTGGGAGCATGGAGACTGCTCGGAGTATTTTCGATAAGATGGTTCGGCACGATGTTGTCTCGTGGACTGCGCTAATACTCGGCTACGCTCAGAATGGACAGGGGAAAGTAGCTCTCGAGCTGTTCGAGGCGATGCAGTTAACAGGCTGTGCTGCTAATGCTCAAGCCTTCGTAGCTGCGCTCAAAGCCTGCACAAGCCTCGCAGCAAACGAAGAAGCAAAGCAAGCTGATGGGAGGCCTGTGAAGATGGTATCTCTGGAGAAGGGAATCGCTCTTCACTCTCAGGCTGCCAGGCTCGGCTTCGACTCAGATATATTCGTGATCACGACTCTGGCAGATATGTACTCGAAGTGTGGGACGATGGACAATGCTCGTGAGGTGTTTGACAGGAGTCCAAAGAAGAGCTCGGTGCTATACAACACGCTGATACTTGGATATGCACAGAACGGTCAAGGTAGGCTGGCTCTCGAGTTATTTTGCTACATGTTGTCGTCTAAGGATTGCTTACCTGTTCGATCTACATTCCTCGCGGTACTCAAGGCCTGCACCGTTCTTGCTGACAAAGAAGCTGAAGGCATTCTCGGTGGCAAGGTCAGGAAAGTGGCTTCGCTCGAGATTGGGATGGCTATCCACGTACAGGCTTGGAGAAGCAGGCTTGAGCTGGACCTTTGCGTCGCAAGCTCTCTAGTCGACATGTACTGCAAGTGCCGGAGCCTGGGCGATGCGAGAAGGGTGTTTGACAGGATGAAGATCCACGACACTGTGTCGTGGAATTCGCTCATTCTCGGGTATGCACAGAATGGAGACGGTAAGACGGCGCTGAAACTATTCGAGACGATGCTCGCGGAAGGCTGCGTGCCCGTTCGCTCGAGCTTCCTAGCGGCACTCGAAGCATGCAGTGCTTTCTCCGAGGAAGAAGAGTGCCAGTTCGTCAATGGAAAGGTGGCGAAGGTGGTCTCTCTGGAAACGGCTATGGCTATACACTCTCGAGTAGACGCCGAGGCAGCAAAACATGGCGTGGATATCATGGTGGCCAACACGCTGATCGACGTCTATGCGAAGTGTGGCAGCATGACTGACGCTCAAAGAGTCTTCGACGGTATGAAGCACCGCAATCTGGTCTCTTGGACAGTTCTAATGTTTGGTTATGCGCAGAACGACAGGGCCAAGATGGTCTTGGAGCTCTTCTCGCAAATGCGGTACTTCGAAGAATGGATTCCAAGCTCCCAGGCTTTCGTAGCAGTGATCCAGGCAGCAGCGGACATGGCAGCCTTGGCAGCTGGAAAAAGAATCCACGGTGACGTTTGTAGGCTGGGACTGGAGCTGGAAGCTCACATACAAAGCAGCCTGGTGGATCTCTACGGGAAGTGTGGCAGCACAGTCGGCTCTCAGGTGGTTTTCGACTCGGCTTCGTCGAGAGGGATCGAGATGTGGAGTGCAGTCATGGCAGGACACAGCCGGCAGGGAGATCATTCAAGAGTTTTCGAGCTCTTCAAGGGGATGGTGCGAGCAGGAGTTCGTCCAAACGCCATCACTTTCCTGTCGCTGCAAATCGCTTGCAGCCGAGCCGGGCTGGTGGACAAGGCCCGAGAGATTTTCTTGGAGATGCAGAGCTCAAAGTTTGGGATCCGGCCAGGGATTGAGCACTACAACTGCTTGATCGATTTGCTGGGGCGCGCCAACCAGATCGACAAGGCGGTGGAGGTGGTGGAGAGCATGCCGGTGAAGGCCACGGCGGTGACTTGGATGACAGTGCTGGGTGCGTGCCAGAAGTGGAAGAACTCGGAGATTGGGAAGAGGGCGTTTGATGCAGTGATGAGGCTGGATCGCGAGAAAGAGCATCACACGGCGGCCTACGTTCTCTTGGCTGAGATCTTCGAAGCAAACTAAGAAGAATCATTTGATTATTATCAAAAGAAGCGTGGATCGAAACCTCAAGAAATTTAGTAGTGGTTTAACAATTCATGACCCTCTATATTAAATGATGTAAAAGAAAGAAGAAGGGTTTATATGTTTTATGTTTATACTTTCACCAAAGTTTTTCACAAATAAAGTAGTGATTTTGGATTTTGATCTTCATCTTATTATTCTAAAATTATTTTTCAATTTAAAATATAATTATATTTTTATAAGTTAGAAGTATGAGGTTCAAGTGTATAGCTATGATGCTATATACTAATATTAACATAGTAGAAATTTAATAGCCATCAAATTAGTTCAATCCAGACCACTTGCTCTTATATATAATCTAAAGTTTTTGCGTTAATTGATATGCACATTTTCTATATTCCCTAGAAGCCCACCCAACACCTCATGCAGCTGCAAAAGAAGAAAACAAATCACCAATTTAGTACTAAAAGTAGAATCTACCTAAGTATTGCACTTTCAGTTGTGTGAACAGAAGGTTGTGCTTCTCTTGATATGTCAAGTAGAGAACATTAATTATGTAGCCTCCCCACCAATCCATTAGTAAGTGGAGCACCTGAAATACTATTGAGGAGGGTAGGCCTGCTTGTGTGTAAGAAAAGGGAATTGTGAGCAGAATTTGAGCAATTTGCAAAAATTTTAACAACATGGAATGAATTGGATGATCTGAACTAAAGAATGACAAACCTTTGTTGAGCTAATGTTGAGCGAGCATCAAAGCTTGAGCCTCCATCCCATAAAGCCGTATTAAGAAACTGCTAACAATCAAATGTGTTCCCCATTGTCAAACAAATTCATTGACAAAGAGTAGCTTATACTGAATGGAAAGAACCACAATTTGCCATTGTGAAGTTGACAACTACTTTTTTGAGAAGTTACATTGATAGAAAGACATGTTAAAAGACATGGTTTTCCATAATTTACCAGTTTGAAACATTTTGTCATAAAATAATAAAAGTGTATTTCCGTTTTATAATTTGGTCATGTTCTTGGGATCAATTCTAAGACATACTTGTGAACCTCCTTATGAGATGATGATCTAAGTGAGATGATTTTATTGTTCCAAATTTAAATTCAAGTGGATATCAACAGTTGTCATCTAGGTCATTTTTTACAAGATTTTGTTTAAAACTTGAGATAGATATTATTCAATTTTATTTTAAAATTAAGTTTAAATTATATGAATGAATTGAAATGTTTTAAAAGACTATTTTTAATTTTAGAACTTCAAAGGGACTTTTTATATTTATTAAATATATTATTTTAACAGATAACTTAATTTGTCATTTTTCCTTATTCACATATTAAGATGCTAATTATTTTTATTCTGCCTAAAGCGTTTAACAATTATATACATTATTCCATATGAATCATAAATGTTTTAAAGGGAAATATTTAATGGTAAAAAATAACATTTTGGACTGATGAAGATCAACTTAGAACTTGTATCAAATTACTCTACTTAAATTCCCCAATGATTGATCATATGTTAACATAACCTCTTACCATGTTTGGGGAGTTTTAAATGCTGGTGGACAAATTGAGTTTCACGTTTAGCCTTACTTTCACTTTCAGACCTGGATACTCAAATAAATTCTGGTTAAAACCAAAGAAGCAACATAGTTAACCTTGTATCTAGCCCAAGAACTTAAATTAACACAAACTTGAGCACAACTCAAAAGCCAGATAAGTAATCATCGTTTTGAGACTTTATGACTACAAGGACATAACTTAGAAATAATGTTCTAGAGTGAGCATGACATGAATCTACCAGGAAACCAATATAATGACTCTCGAACCCCATGGATTGATCTCAGTCTGTCGTCGTGCAACGATGATTGAAGAAAACTCATGGCCCGGACTGCCGAGCTGGCTTGTCCATAAACCGAACGGCAGTCAAGGTCATCCTTTGAGAAGATTTTGTTACGAGTCCTTTGAGGTCATGACGGGCTGGATGGAGCGTTGTTGAGTCAACAGTCGCAACGTGTTTTTCACGTATTGTTTGAGATACATATGCTTGGAAGATAACTAGTCATCTGTTGCTGTTAGGTTGGCAAAGACTTCCAGTCTCTTGTCGAAATTGCATATGCTTGGAATGGTTGTTATTAATAAGTCTGATTATCTTGGATACTAACGACTTGTTAGTATTCTCATTGCTGATTAACATTGGATATAAGTTGGAGGCAGAGGTCCTTAGAAATTATCATTCTTCACTTCTGTTCTCTCTTACATTTGTGTTTTGCAAAATGGCTCATCGGCAGCCCATCAGGGAGTTTTATCTTCCGAAGGTGCGTTGTTCCTTTCCTCTCAAAAACCACCCGGCCTACGACAAAATCGCAGAATCAGTGAAGGCTTGGGCTCTTCAATGTGCTCGTCCAGAGTCGAAGCTCCAGAAGCAGATGCTGGTAAATGAGAAGTACGCTCTCCTGGCATGTGTGATGAATCCATATGGACTCAAGGAACGCGTCTCAGACATTGGTAACTTCGTGGCGTGGTACTCAATTGTTGACAACTGCCTCGACGACGCATCAAACACACAGTTCAGCATGGAATCCAGCAGGATCCAACAGGCTCATGACTTCTTCACGAAGCTGATGAAAATCATGACCAGCAGCAACAGCTGCTCTAGTTTGGCCTCTGAGGAGAACGATTTGCTGCTTAACTCCCACGCAACCAGGTTCAGTTTCTTCTTCGCAGAATTGTGGAAGAGTTTCCGTAGGGGAATGACGGTGAAGCAGCAGGAACGATTTGCGGACACAGTAAAGCAGATGTGTGCGGCCAACATGAAGCAACTTCAACGTAGAGGTAAGAACAAAGAAAGACCGGTACAAAGTTTGAAAGAATAAATTCAGCAAAGGAGGGCCTCGGTTGCCGCTTCGTCTCTGGTGGTGCTGCTCGAATACGCCCTCAACATGGAGCTTCCAGACAGCCTGCTCAATAATCCCAAGTTCCAGCACCTGCAGATGTGTGCGATGGACTTCGGGGGCTGGACGAACGACATTGGATCGTTCCGGATGGAATACATGCAAGGGAGCTACGAGCACAGCCTGCCATGGGTGATCTGCGTGAACAGAGGGTGTTCTTTCTAGGAAGCAATGTTCGAAGCATGCGACATGATTTCAGCCATGAATGACGAGTTCATGGAGCTCTACAGCGAGATAAGTGAGTGGCCCGAGGTCAAGGAGCTCCAGCTCACCCCTTACTTGGACACTCTGGGGGCTCATATGGTGGGGAACATGCACTGGACGTGGAGTACGGAACGCTACCATGGTAGAAACTGGTCACCACCCAAACAGTACCACGGTGTCGTCCGGATGCTGCCAGATGCCACTATACTGGACCCAACTCCAGCTGCAGCACTGGGAACCCTTGGAGCTTCAAGGGGAAAATCCTCCAAAGTACTTGGCAAGGCTCGTGGTCCCCTAGGAGCAAGACATCCATCAATCATCTCACCACCAGAATACAGATTTCAATCTAAAAAAATATCAACAAAAACATTTAAAAACATATATAAGAGAACATAAATCATACATTATAAACTTATGAATTACATATTAATTTATATAAAAATGCTTAAGTACATAAAAGAGATAATAGCTTTTTAAATATATATCTTTTAGAAACTGCAGTTTCATTTTTCAAGAATTGTAAACCCTTGTATGTTGCATTTATCTTGAAAGAAATCGGAAAAATAGATGAAAGAGTATTACAACGTAAAGAGAAAAAATTGCATTGCACAAACTTAATTATGACATGTCACAAAGTCATGACCAAAGACCCAACCCATACCTCTCTTTTAACCCCTCACAATCGTCAACAAAAACTTAAAATTAGGTCAATTATTTTGGAAGCTTAAAACCCTAAATCTTCGCATTTGATGTCAGAGGTTGCCCGATCGCGGAGGCTCCCTGTGCGGCTGCACCGGCAGACGATCGTTGATAAAGTGAGCTCGAACAGGGTGACACTGATTCTGGCTGAGACTGAATCAGGTTTCGTGGGCATTTTTCTTCATCGCAGCCCCTTGTTGCTCAACTGCTTGGATTTCTGCAGCGAAAAGCTCCTCAAATGTTGCTCGAGGATGAGTTCTCTCCGATTCTCTGTACGCAGCCACGACGCCTTGCCGTGGTGTCTGTTGCCAAGATGGTGGCGGAGGAGCGAGGATGTGATCTAGGGGATGAAGTTGGATTTCATATTGGACAGTTGAACAAATCAAGTGCTAGGTACTGTCTGGTTCTTCATTTGATTGGCGAATGAAGGAAATGCATGTTGCAGGTCCAAAATCGTCTTCCAGACGGCTGGTGTTTTCCCAGAACAGCTTAAAGCTAGAGGGATTGCCGTAGCCTCTCGGTACAACGTCCTTATACTGGATGAAGTGCATGAGCAATCCGTTGAGTCGGACATGGTACTCTGCTGCGTGAAGCTCCTGATGTTCAGGAACAAGAACATACGGTAGGCTACTGTCAAATAGCTCTTGGAACTGCAGTTTCAAATTTCCGTTTTACAGGTTGGTGCTTCTGTCTGCCAACAGCAGATTTGAAGCGCTACAAGTCATATTTCTCCGACTTGGGCGAGAAAGTCGAGAAGGTAGCTGTGTCAAATTTATCGAGTATCGTGCAACAGCAATTGTTTAGCTGCACTGTCAAGTACCTGGATCATGTATGTATGTTGTAACGTCTATTCAAACCTGCTGCTTAATGTGGTTTTCAGGTTGTCAATGTCCTCGGTGTGTCTAATGAACTCATTGTTGCTAAACAGTGGCGTTTAAGTTTTTACGACATCTGATTTTAACCAGCAAGGTAGCAAAGGAATTCTAAGTCTTGCCTACTCGGAATGCTATGCAAAGTCTGGTAACTGATAAGCTCCGGTACTAATGTATTCATCTTCATTTTTGCAAACTTAATCTTTTTTCTGCAGGTATGTGCAATATGATTTTCACCGTATATGTGGTCACATACACTTCGAGC